GGATCGCCAAGTGTAGCCAACGTTTTTACAGCTGGTGGCTCAATTAACATGTGGTTACCAGAGCGCAGACTGTACCGATTAGGTCTCTTTAATGTGACTAATTCTCTGATATACTCTGGTGACATACAATGTAATGCCTTAAAAGTGATGAGTAGTATTTTAATGAGTTAGACTGGCAGCCAACGCAAATGATATAAAACAGGTGATATATGATCAAACTTGGATACCTTGCAGATAAGCCGAGCAGCTGCATTTTGGACTCGCTGTAACTTATTCAGTTGTACCTGGGGCAGCCCATAAAGTAAACTATTGCAGCGTTCAACACGACTAGTAATGAATGCGTGAATTAAAATTTTTGTTGATTCCGTAGAAAGAAACTTTCGGATTCCTCTAATATTATGAAGATGGAAAAATGAATTACTGCAGAGTTTGGAAACATGAGTCTCCATTGTTAGCCGCGAATCAAACCAGCAACCCAAGTTTCTGGTCACGGATACTGGCGAAATGTTACAACTCCCGACAGTGATATGATCATTGTCCACTTTGCACAGTTGTTGCCGGGTACCTATGATGAGGGATTCCGTCTTGTCGTCGTTCAACATTAGCCGATCAGCAAGCATCCATAGATATGAGTACAGTAGTGTCAGGGGTTAATAATGACAAACATTTGTCATTATTAACCCCTGGTAGTATGTATGTGTGTGTGCGTGTGTGTATACATATACATTTATATGCGCATAGTAGTGATGAAAATTGCAATTGTAAATAAATCATATATGCCTCACTTCTTCTAGGTTTCAAAACCTAGACTTTTCACCAGGCATACATAGACCATAATAGATCTGTTTGCAGTAAAATTGAACTTTTTCTACTCCAACAGTTAGGATTAGATCGGTTGCTGGAGAGATTCGATTGTGGGTCACGACTAACTTTTTAAGTTTTTAGGCAAGATGCTAGAAAAATTCACACACTCAGTGACCCATAACAGTTTATAAATTCAAGGTCAAAAATTTAAAAACACAAGCGAGCAGTCTTCTTCTTCTTCTCGGGTCACTACACTACACTCGGCCCAGCCACTGCAGCACACAGGACCTGGCACGGTGGTTGAAAGCCTCAAGGTCTCCAGGGCTACAGGGCTTCGGCAATAAGGGGCATTTCGGGAGATGTCCCATAGTCTGGTCCTCCCCGCAGTCGCATTCGATTGGACCATCTTCAGTGTATCCCCATTTCTGCATGAGTGCCCTACATCGACCAAAACCTGTCCTGAGGCGATTTAGGCACAACCACGTCGGCCATACCCCGTTGGCTCCTGGCGGGAGGGATTCCTGGGGTCTGAGCGAAAGCTTATGTTGGCTTGCCTGAAGATGCTTTGACCATTGGGCGATCCTGTGTATCAGCGAGCAGTGTATCACTATATGTAAACGAGCTCTCTGCCCAAATTACATGTAAGTTATAGAGAGCATTTATAGAGTCCTATATTGTTATAATATATTCTGACATTCATTAGAATTTAGAGTGGGTGGAAAATCATAGATTCACAGCGAAAAAGACCGATCGCTAAATGTTGTAGTGAGGGGGGTTTGAGGTCGTTATAAACTTATATAGTCACAATTAGCACAATTCCATGCCTAATTTTCGAACTCTGGACAAATATCGATAACAGTAAAATTATATGATTGTAATATTAAAATTTATTTAAACATTGTTTAGACATATTTATATAAAAGCAATGGAAAATAA